ACCTACTTAAATGATATATATATATATGAAAAGATACCATTTATTTAAAGAGTAAATATATTTAGACTTAATTTACTCAATAACTCATATTTTACATTAAATTTTAACGATTCAATTATTGAATTAAAATTTCTTACTAAATAGACAAAGTCTGCAAATTTTGTAAAAACTAAAAAATTATTTGATATATTATTTCATTAATTCAAATTAACGTATATTTTTTTTAATAAAATATTTGATTTGAATTGATAAAATGAAATATTAAATAATTTTATTTTTTTAAAAAAATTTGTAGGTTTAATTTATACATTAAAATTTTTTAATTTAACGATTGGATTGCTCAAATTTGATGTAAAGCATGAGTATTGAATGAAGTAAATTTAAGTAAACTTACTATGGGAGTAAATGAAATGAATTATCAAAAAAATTTCAAATTTTTAAAAAATTTACAAATTTAATCTATATATTAAAAACTTTAAATTCAATGGTTGGATCGTTAAGATTTGATATGGAGCATGAGTTATTAAATGAAGTAAGTTTAAGTAGACTTGCTCCTTGAGTAATCGGATCTCTATATATATATATATATATATATATATTACCAAAGGATTGATGAGAGTATTCTTTGACTTTGTAGGAGGCTCACCTCTCTCAAAATCTTGATTGTATTATTCTGGCATCATTTTTTTTTATACACATATTTGACTTGTGCATATAAGAAAGGTTTTCATTGACAAAAGTATTTATCTATCTTAAATACTATTTTTTGTGTAATTACATGCATTTTATTCAACTTTGATTACTAGGTTAATCCAGTAATTGTGGTTTAAAGTTTAGACAAACTATTTTACATCTCAAATATATAAATATAAATTTGAAGAAAATTTTTAGTCAATTTTAGGCCAAGGACTATAAATGTTTAGAATCTTGAATATGAACTTTACTACCTATTAAAATTCCATTTGATGACTCGAGCAAAATTACTTGGGAATCTGGAGTCTAAGAAAAATGAAACTTCTAGACAAAGGAAACTGAATTTTGTTAAATATGTTAAATAGCAGCATATAAAGAGTGAAAATTATAAAAAGCAGGCACATTAAAAAATAAGTACAAAGATCAGCAGCACGTGTTTTGTCTCTAGTTTCCCTCTTGGAACATATAGCATGTCAATAAATTATTAATATGAAGCATTTGTAATGTGAAGAAGCATTAGGAGCCATATTTACCAGAGTTGGCCTCAATTATGCAAAAAGTTCACCTGCTCCTGAAAACAAAGTGAGAGTGGGGTAGCAACAAACAATGGGTACAATATTTTTTTTCTTCTTCATACCATAAACATTGTCTTTTACAAAAGATAATCTTATTTGAGTGAAAGAAGATCATTCTTAAAATTTAACACAATCAATTATATATATACTTAAAATTTAAACTTCAAGTTATTAGTTAAACTGAAATAACTTATTACCAGTTAATTCACGTATTTGTAGGATAGATACAAATCCAAGAAAGCATGGTGGCACTAAAATATTATAGCAGCCACCCAATGAGACGAGGTCCAAATTCCAAACCCAACAAAGCCGTGCAAACTTTACTTTTGGAAAAGCATTAAAGGCATTTTCTGCACCTTGATGTGGCTCATGCAGCAATGGAATATGTATGCATCAAAGGCAAAGAACAAAGGGGTGTTTGGTTTGAGCAAATTAAAATGAGTTTCTTAATGAGTAAGTTGTGGTTAAAGTAATGGAGATTGATGGGGACAAGCACCGACCCTAAACAAAAAAGGTTGGTAACGTGGTCGTGTTTAAAAAAGCTGGTTTACCCGTCTCAACTTTTTTCTCACCCACAAAAGTCTCAATGTAACTGGCAAGCTTTGCTTTATTTGTTTATTATTCTAACTTCACCTTTTTCCTCTTATCATCCTTCAATACCTAACTTTCTGAACTAGATTACCCACTATTCTTTCACGTTAAAACCACCATCAAATAGTTTATGCCCTTGTGTCTTTGCGACACACATATGAATAAATTATTAGTGTATATATGTTGGAAATTTTATATCAATTAAAAATATGATTATAATGTATATATTAATAGAGAATGATTTTTATCTTATAAATTAATTTTATAAAATTAAATTATATTTATAATTTATTTTATAAGATAAGATGAGATTATTATTTTATACTTGTTTTTAATTTTTTTAATGGTGAGATATTATATCTTCTTTTATTAAGAACCTTTATTTTTCTTCTTATAATTAGAGTTATTTATTATTGTTTCGATTTTGTTGATATGTACATGCATTTTGGTCTATATTTTTTCATGTTTATTGTTCACTTTTTTTTAATATTTTTTATATATATATATTTTTGGTGTGCTGCAGATGGTTAATAAGTTTAGAGATATTAGCATTGTTGAGATATCTTAATTCTTATAGTAATGTTTTGCATGTTAATAATTTTTATTTAAAAAAAAAAAGCACGACGCTACTAAAAGAAATAAGAGCGATTGTATTGTTATTTATTTATCATTATTTTGAAAAGTATGGTTTAGAGTAAAAGAATTAAAGTTATTGGTTTTTATATGTAAAATATATATATTTTTTAATTATACTATGACCACACAATTTTTAGATGTTGCCCACACGGAGCCTTAGTTACAAATCAATTTAAGAACGGCTAAATATAACGCCCACCCAATATATGATATAAAATAAAGTTTACGTTGTATTTACGACGTGGATGCATAATAATTTATAAATCTGAGTTAAAATTCTTTTTTCTTTCAATTTTATAATATATTCGCTATCTTCTAAAAAGATGATATGACCTACACAAATAATATATATATAT